GGTAACGTTCGCGCTTTAAACCTCCCGAGCTGCCGCCGAGGATGGACAAACCGGAGCTGAGAGCTCGGGCGGGGGTTCGGGGCTGTTCCCATCCCCGGAGCAGAGATAAGCGTCGCTCCCGGCCTGCAGGAAACTCCCCAAAACATGAAACCTGCGTTGCAGAAAATAAACCATTCCTGCAAGGCGGGTTCCTGGCAGGGTTTAGCTCTTACCAAATTCAATGCCCCCATTTGCGCCGAGGATGGACAAACCGGAGCTGAGAGCTCGGGCGGGGGTTCGGGGCTGTTCCCATCCCCGGAGCAGAGATAAGCGTCGCTCCCGGCCTGCAGGAAACTCCCCAAAACATGAAACCTGCGTTGCAGAAAATAAACCATTCCTGCAAGGCGGGTTCCTGGCAGGGTTTAGCTCTTACCAAATTCAATGCCCCCATTTGCATAGAATTATAAAATTGTTTGGTCGGAAAAGTCCTGAAATCACGGAGTCCACGTGTACCTGTCCCCCACTAACCCCGATCTCCCAGCACCCCATCTACCCCGCTTTTAAACACACTTATTTTTTTTAAACATCCTTTTTTTTGAGTGACTTTAAGGTAAATCAGTCACATCTGGTGCAGCTGGAGAGCCGGGGTGGGGCAGTGGGAGGCAGGCGGTCGTGCCAGGATACCAGCATTCATCCCAACTGATGACTCAGGGACTCTGAAGTGAAAAAACGTGATAAAAAAGGCTCCAGCTGGGAGAGCAGGGCCGGGGGTGAGGCAGCAGCCGCCGCTGACGTGAGAAACGCAGCCCTTGCGTACGGGCGCTGCGAGGCACGCGAAAAATTCTCCACGAGGGTTTATCGGTCACTGGGACAACTTACAAATGAAGCAGCGATTCTGCCACCAGCTCCTCTCCCTGACTGATGCTCTTTGGGGTCAGCTTTGACCTGAGACCTCGAGAGATGGAGACTCGAGATAAATTTGTTGTGATATTCAGAGACTGGAAAGAATGGCTGCGTGGGGAGAGGAGTTTTCACACCGTGTGTCCCCGCGATGCTCTAGGGAGGCATCAGGGTGAAGAGCACAGACTGCTCCATCCTGCACCGAGCTGTGGGATGAACACCCCTACACCAAGGCTGCAAAACCCATCCCTGAGCGTGGTTTAAATAAATCAGGTCTAAAAATGAGTTCCCGCAGATGCCCTGAAGTCACCTCGCTTCCCTCCCGCTGCCGGGGGGTTGAGTGTTTCCAAAACCGACCGCAAAACCGACGGCAGCAGCAGCAGCAGCAGCAGCTTGTCACGCAGGAGTCAAGGAGGCGGCTGCTGCAAATAAACACAACCCCTCAAGAAATCAATTCCCTCCCCACTCCCAGCCACGCCGGACCCTTCAAAGCTCAAAGAACACAAGTGGCAGAAGAAACCCAGCCAAGATAATAGAATCCGTCTGTGTTAAACCGAACACCCCAGAACTGCGCGTGGAGAAGTACAAGGACGTGACAGACAGGACAGGGATGTGCATGCCGGGGGGAAGGCAATTCCAGCCTCCTCCTCCTCCTCCTCCTCCTCCTCCTGCTCCCCGCATGGCCATGTGCTGCTCATCCTGCCAGAGGATGTGGAGATGTCGTTGCTCACGCTCAGCCTTCGGAGGCCAGATGCTTTCCACCTTTCCATCCTGCTCCTTCCCTTTCGACGCCGGCAGACGCGAGGGCAGAGGCTCAGCACGGATGGTGCAGGGAGGGAGAAATCGCTCTCGGTGTCGGATGAGGGTAATTGGGAGGAGGGTCCTGGCTGGTGACCGTGTAACAGTGATCACAGAATCACACAATGTCAGGGACCTCGGAAGATCATCCAGTCCAACCCCCCTGCCAGAGCAGGAACCTAAGTGATGTCACGGAGCACTTGTTTTTGGCAAGGACAGACTCCATGCTGCTTTGAGAAGCGCAGAGGCGATCAGGGATGGGGATCTTTGAGGACTGAAGTGGCACAAGCTGCTGGAGTCCCCTCTCAGAGACGCGATGGCCTTGCAGAGCCTTCAGACCACAGCACTGCAGCCAAGAGACCCAGATCCTCCTCCACGGTGACACCAGCAACAAGCCAAACCCCAGCGCTAAGCGGGCAGCCCGGGGGTCGGAGCAAATCCCTCATCCAGGAGAAGGAAGTGAATGACCAGCCACCCCTCCCCGCTGCTGGAATGAAGCAGCTTGTGCAGAGCAGTGCTGCATCCAGGCACCTTCTTCCCCTGAAACGCCAAAACAGGGGTTCCCAAAGGGAGGGCCCCTTCTTACCTCCCCAGGCAGAGACCTGAGCACCAGCAAGCAGGACTCGCTCTAGTTCAGCGCTTTCATGGAGTGAGAGGGGTTAGGAAGGTTTCACCTTAAACTATAACAAAGACTTACCCACTCCAGCCAGCTGCGCTGAGACCACAGCAGCCCAGAGAGAGGCAAAGCAAAGCAGGGGTTAATTTGGGCAAGGCTCACTTTGGAAAGCACTTGAAGAGGTTTCCACACCTCATGGTTGCAGCAAATCACGGGGGAACCCCCCCAACACCCCAAGAAGCTGTTCAAGCCATATAATCTATTAAACAATTAGAGTATTAAACAATTGCTTCAGTGTTAGCTTCTGTCTTGAAATTTCCAGTTAGCTTTTCCCCACACCCTGAACCTCAGCACCACTCCACCAGCCCAACGCCAGGCACTGAGGTTTGACGTGCTCCCACTGAGGTCAGGCTATCGATTTCACCGCGGTTATTGGGGGAGGAAGGGGAAGGATCACTGCGCGGTAGAAATCATCTGCTACAGGAGGAAAAATCCAAGTTTCCCTAGGCCTAGGAGGAAGGTAATGGTTTCGTGTAAACGGGTAAGGCAAGAGGCCTATCGGAGATCCATCAGCACCACGTCTCGCTCGACTACTGACACGTGATTGCAGGTCTGGAAGAGAAAGAGGTGACAGGGCATCATTCAGATGTTCCCACAGCTCAGACTGAGTCTCTCAAACCTCCTGACACAACCTGAACCCAGTGTCCTTCACAGAACAGCCCTCTTGGACCAGGAACCAGTGCCCTGCCCAGGGCCACACAGAGACCAGGGCAGGACACAAATACAGAATCACAGAATGGCGTCAACTGGAAAAGCCCTTTCAGGTCACTGAGTCCAACCACAAACCCAACACTGACCAGTCCCTGACTAGCCCATGTCCCTCAGCACTGTGTCTACACGACTCTTCAATCCCTCCAGGGATGGGGACTCCACCACTGCCCTGGGCAACCCCTTCCAATGCCTCAGAACCCTTGCAGCAAAGAAATTCTTCCTCACATCCCATCTCAACTGCCCTGGGCACAACTGGAGCCCATTTCCTTGGTCCTTGGTTGAACAGACCCACCCCCACCTCTCTCCACCCTCCTCCAAGGGACTTGCACAGAGCCAGAAGGTCTCCCCTCAGCCTCCTTTTCTCCAGGCTCAACAACCCCAGTTCCCTCATCCGGGAACTCATCCCACTCGTGCTCCAGACCCTTCCCCAGCTCCGTTGCCCTTCTCTGGACATGATCCAGCACCTCCATGTCCTTCTTGGAGTGAGGGAAATCTCTCTCTCTCTCTCTCTCTCTCAAATACAAGCCTTTGCTGCTGTCTTGACCTGCTTCTGCAGAGAAGTGCTCTGTATTGCACCTCCAACAGGTGCAAACAAGTCAGAAAGCTTTTGCATCTCAACTCTAGGAAGAGACAAGCCCCTGCCAGGCTGACTGTCCTGCCCCAGCTCACAGCCTGGCACCTCGACACAGATATAAATTCAAGTGAAGTGTCTGATATGTCAGTGAACAGTCCTGCAGCCCCCGCTGCCTTGTGGGGTGACTTACAGTGAAGAGAGGAGGCTCTTTGGGGTGCGGATGGAATCCTTTCTGCCGGCAGGAAGAGATCTCCTCCAGGCCATGCTCTGTCAGCTTGAAAAACCCCGTCCTAGAGCAAATAAACACAAGCTCTGTGTAGCTCAAGTCTCTGCAAATAAAAGCACTTCTTTCTGTGTCTGAAGGAGCCCACTTGAGTCTGCTCCTCTTGAGATACACAGTGTGGGGACGTTCCTCTGCCCAGGACACTCCTCTCCCCAGGTCTGTGGCTGCAGACTGGTCTCCTTCCATAGGTGGGCAACCACAGCCCAGACATGACCCGCCCTGAACCATCTCTGAAGAGCTGCTGAAAAAAAATGCTCTTCCAGCCTCTTCTGGCAAAACTTTAATTATATGACTTGATATTTTATTCTCCCACCAGGAATCCAATAGAAGAAGGTTTCATGGTAAACAGCCCTCCAGCACCTTCTGAAGAGGCCAGACCTCCTGCCCAACCTTTTGGTTGGGCAGCACAGGC